ATGGACATGAGGTTTTGCTGTTTAGGATACTGCAGTTATATGAAACAAAGCATTCGGTTGAATTATGTGATGGACGCTGACTAAAGCACTATAGAATCTATCCCGAATAAGGTTTTACAACCCATGCTTGACTGATTTATTGCCGCTTCCTAACGCGGGTTGTGAAGGCTGTGCTTGTGGCAAATATTTACCTGAAACATCTTGGAAAAGTGCATACACGCATATGATAATTTGGTTTTGTGTGTGTGTATGTATGCTCACAGTACATTCGTACTTGTGCTCTCCTGGTGGTTTTAATGTCAACCATTCACCCCACATGTACTACTGTGATTTTTCTTTGTTAGTCCCGCTTCTTGTCCATTGGTCTTCCATGTGCGGTGATGTGTAGTTATATGAGAAAGACGATTTGTACTGCAAACGATTAAACGAGATCAGCTGTTTAAATAAGATCAGTCAAACCCGGTGAACATGGTTCACGATTTGGGACCGAATGTTAGTTGGCACGTTTACTCTGCACTCAGTCTATACTATTTCCGCTGTGCAGCCGCACTGTGTTAGTTATAGAACCAATCGCAACTGTTTTCCTGATCGGACGTTCATTTCGTTAAACCTACTTAATTTGTGAATCATGATTGGGTCTAATCTACCAAGAAACGTGGAGTCGATCAGTTTGTATTTCTCCCCGTGTGAGACTAAATACATCAGAGACCTGCTGAATCTTATCCTGTCAAGCAAATACTTGACTTGAATTTTTTTACCCTTTAAAAGACGTAGTATATGTACTTCGCATTAGCATAATGAACTGTCAGTTCGCTTTGGTCCCGAGCTGTCGATTACCGTCTTTATTGTTACGAACATACATTCGCTCCTAGCGCGCTATCTTTGCTGTCCTGTGTCCGTATTTTGTTGAGCAAATTTTTACTCATGACTATCAAAAATTCAGTAGCCATTCACACCGAACTGTGATAATACATATTGAAAGAATCTGTTCAATGAAGCGGGATTTAATTAATAACTCTCAACGTAATACTGCGCCGGTGCAATGAGCCACTATGGAAGAACGCGTATTTATCCATCATTTGTATTGATAAGCCTAATTGTGTCATTTTTGCACGTGGATGCGTTGTTTATCTATTGGCGTGTATGTTTGTCTAATGCGCCACGGCAACGCTCAGCTAGATGATGCGGGTCGATAGATGAGACTGTTCCGATGCCATCTATCATCGTAGGACCGTGAAACGACTAGCAACGAGCGTTGCCGTTGCTTGGTACCTGATAATGTTGGATATGTTCAGAATCTGCTCGCTCAAAAAAAGCCCATTTGATTTGACAATTCTATGGTCTGTGCATGTCGTTTCACCATAAATTGATGTTTTTAAATTAATTTTTGCCTTCAAATGTGTTTTCAAAATCACAATTTCAAATGCACTATACTGATCATTTTAGCCATACCTCATGTGAAGAAAATATTGTAACGAGGGGACCCACGCTATCATGAGTCACTCACATTCGAAACCGGTGAAGGTGCTCATGGATATGTCCATTCGTGTTCTACACGTATTCATTTGTTTGAGCATCGTGTTTCCCCTGCTTTTGCGTCCATCAAGTATGTTATTTTTTGTGCTACTCACAACTATTTTTCAGTAGTTAAGATCATATCAATAAATTTGAAGTTTGATTTGCCTATGCACTTGTTGATGTACAGAGATTGAGCAAATTCGGAATTTTATTGACTTTTTGCTGCTTACTTTTAAAAACTACATTTCCGATTCCACTGTGATCTTGTTTGCCTATGAAGTACAGTGTAATAAGATGTAGAGGAAAAATGCCAACGTTTGAGAACACCACTATGTAAACTAAAGTATAAAGATCACTGCAAACTCCGATAACGTCGTTATTCCCAAGATATCTTCTGCTTATATTTATTTATTTATTTAAATAGGTGGTGTCAAAATGACCATAGGTTGTGGACAATAGAATGGAACAACAAAAAATCAGTTAGGTAACATGGTATTTCGAATGGGTACGTTGAGGCTACCGGTTACACTTAGACGGTTCACTGTTGAACAAATAACGAGGCATTGTGACTTTATTTCACCGAGATAAATCTGGACTTTTCATCAATAAATGAATAGTCCAACCGGTTCATTGTGTTGTGAGCTTGTGGAAAACTTCAAGGTTAATAATTCAAGGGAAATTTGTGTATTGTATATAACTTTTGCAAGCACTGGAGCTCACATTTCAGCTAAAAAATCATACACGCCAACTGTCGCTATGTACATAATAAACTGAGAGAAAAGTTTTTACACCCATGGGAAGATATCATAATACAAGGTTAAGACAAAGTGCATTTATTGCCCGTTCTTTTTTTATGAGTAGACAAGGAAGTTGCGGTATAGGTGCATTGCGGTAAGCGGTAATTTGAGGTGAAATTTGACGGAATTGGGAGCGTGTTGAATAATGAGAACGACAATGTGTCTGTTCTGCGTTCAATGGGTGGTCAGGATCTGTGATAATCCTCTCAGGAAGTTACGTGTTACTCTGGAAGCTTTAAAGCTAACTCATTTACCGGAATAGAAGAGATTCGACTAATAATGGTTAGACTGTGGTGTAAGACTTTGGGTAAGCCAGGAGAAATAACTAAGGATCAATAGAGTAAGATGGGGAAAAGACACTGATGAACAAAGATAGAAATAATTGACTGGGATGCGCGAAACTGCCTGAGCTTTCGTATCTGAAGTGATAAGCGCCGCAGTTTACCAATGCAGTTGTGGATGTGGGTTGACCAATGAAGATTACTATCTATGGCTACACCAAGATATTTGACAGAGTTCACCCTGGATAAAGGATTAATATTAATCACTGTGGGGTCTGTCGGATATGGAGAGCGAGCAAAACTATATAAACACTCAACACATTTACTGGGGTTCAGGGTTAGCCCCGATGAGGAGGAGAATGACTGAATTTTATCAAGATTATTTGGT